AGCAAAAAAGGATGTATAAGTGTATGTTTATAGGGTTTATTATTAGAGGAATTGGCTCACTTGTTCATGGAGGCTGACAGGTACCACAATTTGCTGTCTGCAAACTGGAGACTTGGGAAAGTAGCTTGTAAATCTCTGTGAACCAGAAGGCTGATGCTGTAAATCCAGTCAAGGGCAGAAGACAGATATCCCAGTTCCAGCAGTCAGTGTTGACCAGGTTTCCCTTCCTCAGTCTATTTTGATCTATTCAGGCCCTCAGTGACTTGGCTGATGGGGTTGGGCAATGCCCACCCACAGAGGAAGAGCAGTCAGCTTTACTCAGTCACTGATTTGAATACTAATCTCTTTCACAACACCCTGCCAGACACAAGTAGAATAATTAATCTGGGCACCCTGTGTCCCAGTCAAGTTGACAAATATAATTAGCTATCACACACACACACACACCTAAAGACCTCAGGGTACTATGCAACATGTACAACTGATGTTAGATCAGCAGGAATAGAAGAAATTTCAATTGTCCTGAACAAGAGAGAAGATTCCACATGACTTGTTATTTTGAAGTCTCATTGAAAAAGATGATAATCCTCTTTGTGTTTATAAAGCAGGAAAATAACAGTACAACAGCATATATTTGGGGGAAAATGGAAAGTTTTAAAAATTGAGCATAAATCCAATATTGTATATGTCTAATACAAGATTGTCAAAAGCTAGTTATAGTGGCACAAGTCTGTAATCCCAGCACTTGGGAGGCTGAGGCAGGAGGACCATCATGAGTCTGAGAGCAGTCGAGGCTACATAGTGAGTTTAAGACCAGCCTGAATTACAGAATGAGACCCTGTCTAAAAAAATTGTGAAAGTTCTACAAAATAGAATGTGTTGATAGCTTAGGACTGAATGCCAGTATTCAAACCCAGTTATTTATTTTTAAAAAATGACTACATTGGAATCTGAAAAAAAACCAAATAACTAGAACACATGCTTCATAACATAAACATTGAAGATAACTATTATTCATGATTCTTATTAACTCCAGGGCACAGTAATTTAATCACATACTGTTGAAGATTTAGTTACTAATACTTATTAATGATATTACTATATGGTAGTTTGTCTAATTCTGCTTTACTCAAGTTAATAAATCAATAAAAACAATTTTAAATCGGTGTGATTCTTGGATAATTTTTTTTTTCATTTCTCTACTCAAATTGTACTCTACTGAACTTTGGTATTTCAGTATACTCATAAGACCAACAATTTATAGCAGAATATGATGGCGTATGCCTGTAATCCCAGCACTTGGGAGGTTGAGGCAAGAGGATCACTTTGAGTTCAAGGCCAGCCTGGGCTACACAGTGAATTCAAAGCTACCTTGAGCTATACAGTGAGATACTGTCTCAAACAAACAAACAAACAAAAAACTCCACCAATTCAACATTTTCCCCCACAAGAATAAGAATGTTGAGAATAAATAGAACATTAGTTTGTGGAAGAGAATGACTGACTTGTGATTGCTATGATTTTTTGGGTCATCAATCTAATACAGATTTTTTTTTTTTTTTTTACTGGTACCAGGGATCGAACTCATGACCTCACACTTGCAAGGCAGGCGCTTATGCCGCTGAGCTAAATCCCCAGCCCTAATACAGATGTTTTTGAAAATATAATTATTGTCTATTCTTTTGTTCCAATAGTAGTATGGAAAAAAACAAGTAAATAAATTGATTATTTAGTGTAGTCTCTTTGGATGCCATAGTAGATTACTTTGAGGCAGATCCTTTGCAGATTTGTTGTGGAAGACGAATACATTCTGTATATATGAAATAGATTTTTCTTTGGCCTGAATACTTCTGAGGAACTTTCCAGAAGATATTACGATTCTATACCATGACACACATGCAATGTTTAATCACACTGCCTTATCATTTTGTACATGAAATACATCCCTGCCTCAGGGCCTTTGGACTTGCTACTCCCTCTGTCTAACAGATCATTCCTTAGATGGTAATAGCCCATTCCCTCACTTAAGTCTCTGCTCAAATATCACTTCCTCAGAGCAGCCTTCCCGGATCAGCTCATCTAAAAATAGTCACTGTTACTATCCCTTTAGCCTGATTTCTTCTTTCGTAGCACTGAGCACTCTCTGACTTTATGTGCTTGCCTTACCCTTTAGATTCCAAGGTCTGTGAAAATATGGACCTTATCAGTATTGTTCAATGCTGTGCCTTCAGATAATTGCTCAAGACATATTTGCTGAATTAATTGAATGAATTGTAATTTCAGTTTAAATAGTTACCTCTTTTTTGCCTCCCCCAACCAGATAGAAAATTCTTGGAAGGCAGCCAAAGGCCCTGGTTGATTATTTACCTCCACTAAAGCAATTAGCTCAGCTGTGCATGGATGATAGACACTCTACCAAGATTTGCTGAATGCCTTGAAAAATTTCTGTTATAGGCAGGACTAATCAGTCAGCATTCCCTGTGGTCCAATGAGAACACTGAGTTAACATGTACAATTCGGGGGATGGGGAGAGTTGTAGGGTGGTGATAGAGATGGAACCCTGTGCCTCCTGTGGGGTAGGAAAGTACTCCTGCCCTCATTTGTTTTGCCATTGAGTATTTTAGTATTTCTTAACATTGGCCTGAAGAAATGAGTCCTCAAATATAACAAATCCTAAGTCCTGGAATGTACTATTACAAACTTTGAATACTTTTATTGTCTTAGATATCAATGGCATTTAATAAATTTTTGGACATCTTGAGAAACACGTCAAAAGACTGAATATAACCTGGGTGGTGCACAACTGTCATTCCAAAGCACTGGAGAGGCTGAGGCAGGAGAATTGCCATGAATTTGAGGCCAGCCTGGGTTACATAGTGAGTTCAAGGACAGCCTGCACTATATAGTGAGACCCTGTCTTAAATACACACACACACACACACACACACACACACACACACACACACACACACACAGACTGAATATATATTTGCATTTTAATGTGAATGTTGAGTGAGGTTTTGGAAGAATATTTAACAAAGGCTTCACAATAGGTATTTCTGAAACATGGGACCTTGGAAATGTTTTGTTGGGTTTTTCATTTTATTTTGTTTGAAAAAATTTTTCCTTTATACTTGGGCCTTGGGCGTCTTGCAATGCTAGGCAGTCATTCTATCATGAGCTCCTCTTTCAGTTCTTCAAAAAAATGTTTTTTCTGGTGCTGTGGATTGAACATAGGGCCTTCCCACTGAGCTACTTGGTCCCCCAGCCCTTCTTAATTTTTGATAGTGTTAAGTTGCCCAGGCTAGACTTGAAGTTGCCATCCTTCTGCCTCAGCCTTACAGAGTGCTGGGATTACAGTTCAGCTTTTCCTTTAAACTTTTTTTTTTAATTATTTTTTTAAATCGGTACCGGGGATGCGCTTGCAAGGCAGGGGCTTATGCCGCTGAGCTAAATCCCCAGGCCCTTTCCTTTAAACTTTTACGGTTGTGAGCTCATCCAGTGAATTCAATTTCTGTGAAACAGTTTAGTTTGGGTAAATAGCATAAAAACATACCACTACTCATTTTCCTGATTATGTACATTGTTAGGACATGCCAACTTTCATTTTGAGAAAACCTTTAATTTCTAGTGTAGCAACATTAACAAATAAATAAAATGAACCAGAATCCTGACCGGTTTTTGTGTATTTTTTTTTATATTTATAGCTGTTATTCTTTTAAAGAGGAAAAAAAGGGAGAGCAATGCTTCATTTTTGATACACAGTTGTTCATCTTTTGCCAAAAAAACTTTTCAGGATATTGAGCCCTACAACAGAAGGCTAAAATCAGGTGTCAGGGACTTTTTCTGGAATTTGCACCAATCTTAAAGGGCACACATGGAATGTGCTCAGTTGTTCTATTTTTTTTTTTTCTCATTTAAAATCTGAAAATTCTCTATTCCTTGCCCCTCAACCTGACTTGAAACACATGCAAGAAAATCACCCTGTGGAATAATTCTACTGATAATAACAATTGGTCCTCATTTCAAATATAAAATGTTTTGAGTTTTCTTAGTGAAGGAACTGACCTAAGCAGGGTTTTCTGAGGCTGTTGGTAACCTCCGGCGACCGCGGTTTCTTGATACAGCTTGTGTGCCTGAGCATCTGCGTATGGATAAGTGTGTAAAGTGAATTTTGAGTGCAAGCCCATGGCTCAGGATTAGTGACTCCCCCACCAGAAGGCAGATGCGTGTCCAGCAATTTGAGAGGGCTACAGTACCCGTCGCTCGGTGCGGAGAAGGAACCCTCAGCCCAGGCCAGGAAGGGGGTGCGCAGCGAATCCCGAGGGAAATCTGGGTCCTCCATAAGGCTCTGCGGGGAGTGGGCGCATCCTTTCCCCTCTGAGGTAGTGCCCTATCCCACCCCAAAAATTGTTTCAGCAAACCAGCCAGGGAAAGCAGCCCAGCCAGCCTAGGAGCGCACGGGTGGAGGAAGGGAAACAGCAGGGGCGTGGCCGACAGGGGCGTGGCCGGGCCCCTCCTACAGGCCCGCGGAGCCCGCGGCGACCTCGTGCGTCTCAGCTACTCAGTGCCCAGGAAGGGGCGATCGGGGCAGCGCGTGCGGCTACGGATCCGGAACACAGGTACGTGGGTCCCGCCACGGTCGGCGCGGGGACAGTTGAGCCGGGCAGTTGCGGGCCCATCGCGCCGCGTCTGTGACGCACGGCGCCGCTTTCGGGTGCGGGCGGCCGGTCCGCCGGAGCAGGCGGGGGCGGGGGCGGGGGCGGGGGCGGAGACTGGGGCGGAGCCTGCGGAGGCCCCGCCCCGGGGCCGGAGCAGCGCGGACGCTACGGAGCAGGCGCGTCCCGCCGCCGCTGCCGCCGCCGCCGCCGCCGCCGCCGCCGCTGCCGCCGCCGCCGCCGCCGTCGCTCGCCCTTCTCGGCAGCCGCCGCCGCCATTTGCACGGGGACCCCGGTGACAGGGGCTCGGCGGAGGGGCGGAGGGGCGGAGGGGCGGAGGGAGGGGGGAGGGCCCGCGGAGTCCCCGAGGGCGGGAGCGACGCCGCCCGCGCCGGCCCAGCTCCCTTTGCGCCCGCGGCGGGCCCGGAGCAGCGGCGGCGGCGGCTGCGGAGGCCGAGGGCGCCTGAGGCGGCCGGAGGGGCGGGGGCAGCGGCCGCCGCCGTTTGATGGATCCGAGGATCGCCTGGTTCCAGCCAGAGCAGCTCGGACCGTCCAACAGTCTGTGGATGCAGATCTGGGAGACGACCCAGGGGCTGAGGAACCTCTACTTCAACCACCACTGTCACAGCAGCGGCGGCGGCGGCAGCAGCAGCACGGCCTCGGGCGCGAGCGGCGGGAGCCCCGGCAGTCCCGGCGGCGCGGCCCCGGCTCCGGCCCCGGCCCCGGCCTCCGCCCAGGCCGGCATGCTCCGTTCCGGGGAGCGTCTGCCGGGCGGCCACGCGCGGCCCGCCGAGCAGCGGGACTTCCTGCCCCTGGAGACGACCAACAACAACAACAACCACCCCCAGCCGGCGGCCTGGGCCCGACGTGCAGCCTCGGGACCTCCGGCCACCCCGGCCCCGTCGGCGACCCCAGCTCCACGCCCCTCTGTCCCAGTCCCTGCTGCTGAGCCCGCTGACCCGGCCTCGGGCAGCAGTAACAAGCGGAAGCGTGACAACAAGGCCAGCACCTACGGACTCAACTACAGCCTGCTGCAGCCCAGCGGAGCGCGGGCCACTGGGGGCGGCCGGGCAGACGGCGGCGGGGGCGTGTATAGCGGGACCCCGTGGAAGAGGAGAAACTACAACCAGGGAGTCGTGGGGTGAGTGTGTGTCTTGGCTGCGGCCTGGGGTGGTTGGTCCCCTGCCTGGCTGCTGCTAGAGAACTGATCATCGCCACTCCCCAATCCCCAGCCACCTGCACTTTTCCCCTCACCCGCCTCAGCCATGCACACCCTCATCTTACCTCCCTTAGTCATCCACACCTTCCCCGTGCCCTCTTAACCGTCCACACCTTCGCTGGACCCTCTTTATCTGTCCTCTCATTCCTCCCATCCCCCTTACTCCAGCCTTCCCCTCCCCCCTGCTGCCTTCCACATCGTCATCCCCACCATCACACCCCACCGTGAGATTCTTTAGCACACACATATCATTCATTACCCAAGAACGATAACGTACTGTGTTAATGCGTTTTGATGGTTCAGGACCTGGAGGTGCTTTCTTGCCAAGAATAGAAACATCCAGAATGCCCCTCCCCCTCCCCCAATCCCAGACAGGAATCCGTGGCAATCCTGAAAGGCTTTGGGAGCTTTTGACCCTTTGGCCAATGTTTTAATTTTTATTTTTAAAAATTTCGTGTATTAGCTATGCCCTGTCTGCAGGAAGAGAGGACTGGGTGACAGCTAAGTTTAGGCTGGTAGAAGCCGGAGCTCTTCTCCTGAGGCCCTGATAGAACTTTCCAGGAGTTCATGGTCCAAGCCTTGTCACTGTAAAATCATCCTGACAGAGGCAGCCAGTGCTTTTCATTCTCGGGGTAACTTTATGCTAATGAGTGAATGTTGCACCACTGGTGACTTTCTGTTTAAAGTTCAGTTCTTACAAAATGGAATCTTACCTGACCCCTAGTGAGTTATGTTGGTAAACTGGGAGTGTGTCCAGCAAGATTTCCCTTCTGGAAGAGCCTCTGTGCTGAAATAGGTTACTGAGTCATTTTTCTTTTGTAAAATAAAGCTTTTGGGGGCTGTGTGTGTATATAAAACTGGAATATAGAAGCTGGCTTTCAAATTGCTTTTCAGTTTTTTTAGGGCCTATTTTACGTGAGGGCCAGAGTACACAAATGAAACCACCAATTAGTAATCTTGTGTGAACCTTTTCTTAGTTTTACCCATTCAGATCTGCCCTGTTTAGCAAGGAGACAGTTGTGTGTACCTTTTTGAAGGTCTGGGTAAAATGAGTTGGTGGGTTCCATCTGCTTCTAGTGGGCTGGTGTCTGCGATATGCTACTATTACAACTCCCACCTTCTATGGAAAAACGCAATCCTGTGTCTTAGAAGCCTTGCTTAGGTATCTGTCAGATCTGCCTTCACTTTCCAGAGGGGAGCCCTTCAGGACTGAGTCCTCTGTTGCTAAGCTTCAAGGGCGCTCTCCATGGTCATCACGTTTTATTAAAGGTTTGTGGTTCCATCCTGTTAGCATTTCCAAGTTGAAGCATAAACCTGTGGTTTAGGGACAAGCAAATTGATACAAATTGATACGGAGGGGTTCTGGTAGTTTCATTTTACAGAAAATAATCTGGAGTTAAGTAATCACTGTTAGCTAAAGTCTTAAGTTCCCTAATTTCATTTTACTGAGCTTCTTTGCATATGTTTCTAGATAAGATACATTATAAATCCAAAATGTTGGCCTCCTTTTTTGATAGAAATTGTTCTCTCTTCTACTTGCTATTTAATACAGAGGATACTGTAAATGGTCACTGTCTTTGTTCCTCTTTCAAATATATTGCCCTCAAAGGGATTAGGAGAGGAATTTACATTTCCCAGAGGGATTACTGTTTAAAAACTGATTGTAAACCTGTTTTCAAACAGCTTATCACTTCATCAGACTTTGCATATTTTTTAACCTGTTTCTTTTGAGTCTCTGAATATTCAGTAAGCCTTAGTTTTGACTTGTGGGTTCTTCACTTTTTCTTTTTTTTTTGCGGTACCAGGGATCGAACTCATGACCTCGTGCTGCCAGGCAGGCACTTATGCCACTGAGCTAAATCCCCAGCCCTACTTCTTCACTTTTAAGGACGTTTTAATGTTTTTGATGCCTGTATGTTAAAAACTTCAGAATGTACCTTAATATTACAGTGTTCTGAGATTAAATACAGTAAAACTCACCAGTGTTTTCTGTGTGACTGATACTTTGCTAGTTTTTGAACAGATTGTGATGGTTACTGGCCTCTCAATTGGCTATGCAGACAGGGGAAATGAGACCAAAAAAAGTATATGAAAAGATTAGAACTTGGAATAGCTGCATAATTTTTTGCAGTTTTTCTATGTTTTGCTTCTACCAGCCAAACTAGTTGACTTATTTCTTGAGCACTCCTTTGAGAAACAGTTCAAAATCCTGACTTCTTCCATTATCCAAGTTAATTTTTTTATCGCTTCTGAGCTCTTACAGTATTTGTTTTATGTTCTTGATAGAGCCAGTTAATGTTACTGTTTCTTTTATATATGTGCTTTCTTATCTACTATATGGTGGACATTTCTTTAATGTAGAGTAAGGTGTTTAGATTTTGACCTAAGTCTTCATTCAAAATGAAATCCCTGCTTTCCCCTGGCCACCAGCTCGGCATTTATCCCTATGTAACTACAGGCCCAGGGAGTTCATTTACTTTCCATTTTCTGTTTTATTTCATTGCATTGCTTCCATTTACCCTTCTTCTTGGGCTTCATTCCCCTGTAGGACTGGCTGTGCTGTAGGATATGAGTCCCTGCTTCTGCTTTCTCATGGAAACAGGTCATAAACCCTTTCCAAAGATTTGATTGTTGATCACTGTGGAGAAAGAAGGGATGCACAGGAAACTTAGAGATATTCCAAGTCCTTAGTCCTGAGCCCTGGTGTCCAGAAACTTTTTGTGGAAGGTGCTTGATGTCTGTCTGAGTTCATGAGAGTAGGTTTGTGTGGCTACAGTGCAAGATCTGTAGGCAATTTGTCAAGGTATTGGTGACTTCACAGTGCTGTTTTGGAGGATGAATTTGGTAGGAAAGTTTAAGACTCCACTAGCAAACCTAAGTGTTCATTTTGGTGATACTGGGGACCCAACCCAGGACCTTATACATGCTAAGTTAAGTCCTCTGCCACTGAGCTGCATTTACAGTCCCAAGAAATTTAAGTAATAATTTTTTTTCCTTTTCTTTCATTTTGTTCTTCTCCTTTTGTTTTTCCATGGTACTGGGGATTGAACTCAAGGCTGTGTTCCTAGTCCTTTTATTTTTTTATTTTTCTGTCTTTTTCGTTTTTACCGGTACTGGGGATCGAACTCATGACTGCCTGCTTGCAAGGCAGGCACTTAAGCCGCTGAGCTAAATCCCCAGCCCCCCTTTTATTTTTTGAGAAAGGGTCTTGATAAGTCCTTGAATTTGTTACCTCTTGTCTCAGTCTCCTCAAATGTTGGGATTATAGGAGTGGGTTACAGAAACACATCACCACACCTATCTGAGGAATAATTTCTTGAACTAGAATGGGGGCTGGGGATAGGAAGGATGAGTTGTGAGAGGTATTACAGGGTAAAGATGAAGAGGTTCTCAACTCCTTCAGGGGATTTAATTTGAATAATTAGGGAAATGTTTGTTTACTGAAAATAAGGACTAGAAGGACTGATGGTTTGGGATAGTAGCCTGGATGGTGGTTGGGTAGAAATGTCTAGCAGGGAGCTGAGATTTTGGGGGCTGAGATACAGTGCTCTTTACTGCAATGGGAGAACGTCATCGCAGACTGCCAAAAGCTAGTGCTCATTGCTCACTATATCACAGTAAACCCAAGGCGCTGATGATTTTTTCAGTCCTGGCATTATGGGTAATTTCCACATGATGTCATCAGTGGGATTGGTGTTACTGCTGGGTTCCAAAGCAATCAAGCAGATGAACATAGGTTGAGTAGGAAAGAATTTAGAGACTTTATTCTTCCCTCTTTGTGCTAATTTTAATTTCTGTGCATTTGCATATGCAGTCCACAGTAATTTTTTAATAAACCAAGACCTTCAGGTTATTGAATTTTACTGATTGGGGTACTGAATTTTTTAAAAGAAGACATTATAAGCGCCAGCCTGGAACACAAAGCAAGACCCTGTATCAGAAACCAAAAAACAAAACAAAAATCCCTTAGATTCTATACAAAACAATATAATTGGTCTTTGCGAATTTGTCCAAATCTGGCATACTGTTTTCAACTAAGTAACATTCATGCCACAACTTCTGTCTTCTATCTAGTATCTGTGACCAGGGAACATGGTCACTTTCAGAGTCTTCAGCATGTGAGTATGTGGGACTTCATTAAGTTTTCACTTATTGAAAAGCAAAAGGAAACAGTGGTTAGGGCTCTTTGGAATTTACCCTATGTTCTCAGAGAAGATTAAGACAAGACAATAAGCAGATACTAGAAGGGTCTGAGACAGCGAGGATGTGTATATGCTAGAACAGTTTTCATCGTAATATGCTTGAGGACCCTGTATCATAACTCATTTCATGAAAATACTGCTAATAAATCCTACTTTTAAGAGTCTGAAGGTCCATAGGAAGACTTTAAAGGCTCTCAGGGTGATACTGAACTGGTTGTATATGATTGTCTCACTCATTGGTTCTCAGATAACCTGTGTAATACAGGAAAAGTATAGATGGTGGCAGTGAATGGGTAGACATTCTTATGCTTACTGAAGCTGAGAAAAATTAAAGGCACTTATTCTGTGGGAAGCAGAAAAGTAGGCTGATACATGATTCCAGTTTTCTATTCTCTGTTCTTTTGACTCTGTTAGAGTAACATTTACTGGAGGAAACTATTTAAGGATCACACCCACCACACTAGAAGACTATTAATCATATGCATACACACACTCATACACATGCGTGCACACATGGTATTCTTGATGGGGCTATAGATCAGAGAAGATGCTATTTTGAAGAATTAGGGTCCAGTTGCCAACAGCTGGTCTTTATTCTTTTCTACAGAACTGACTGGACAGCTCAGGGCATCTTGAGGTCTTTACAGCTGCTAGTAGAATGTTCTTCCCACCTTGGAATTTTGGTAGAGACTCAGCGATAGCAGAACACTGTAAAGGTTC